GTGTGTGTGTGTGTGTGTGTGTGTGTGTGTGTGTGTGTGTGTGTGTGCGTGTGTGTGCATCATCTGACCACTTCAGCTCAAAATACAGGATTTAAAGGGCATTCCCATCATGCAACAGCCCATCGGCACTTTGTGGCTTTCAAGCATCAGCATAAACCCTTTACTGTGTAATCACCATGACGTGCCCACAGACTCACGCACGGACGCACGATTAACTGTCACTCCTATCGCTCGCTCTCTTTCGCTGACTTTAATATTCATTCATCGTGGATCATTTTTCTTCACTGAAACGCTGCTCTGATAGATTTCACACAACTAAACATCTACACAAAGGAACACACTGAAGCCAAATATAAATATGAGACAGTGGTTCAGTCTTAAAATAAGTTAATAAAGTGATCAGATTATAACACACTTTGCCATTTGATTAATATTTGCTGTATCTATATTGCACTGGGGTCTTACACAATATGTATTTTATAAACTTCTCATGTTTTTTCTACTTTGTCTATCTCAGTTTTTGGTAGATGATAAATGAATGATGATGAATGTCTAAGTTTTATGCAGATTCTGCAAATCATTACTATTCTAATCTGCTTTCTTTTGAGCGCATATTTCAGTTGTCAAACTTTTTATGGTCATGTCTTTGATTTATGATTCCATATTGCTATGTTTCTTCATCCATCTTGTAAAATACAGATCATATAAAAAAATAAATAAATGATGCGAATGATGAAAATCTGTTAGCTCTTATCAGAAGCGCACAACTGCTGTGGAGGGACACTTAAATAAACAATGCTGTTGACATCCCAGTAATGTCATCTGGGTGATCTTGGCTTAGATTTTCACACATTTAACAGAAAGCTGATTACAAGGAGGAGGCGTGAGCTCTGACAGATGAGGGCGTTTAGGAGGGAGTGAAAAGTGTTTCTAATAACGGACGCAAGCGCAACACTCAATCATTGGAGAGCTTGTTGTAAGTGAAAATATTAATATGGATGAAATGTCACAATTCTTTTATGAGATTCACTCTGTTTTCCATCAATAAATAAAGCTGTGGTGTGCAGTGCAATCATGTGTGTGCTAAACGTGGAAAGTTAACTGGATTTGGTCCCAATTCATTGATCCTTCGTGGGTAGAATCAGCCAGTAAAAGATTGCTCTCATGATTTTAAGTCATTTCAATGGTACTAATACCTGCAACACATAAATGAAAAATACAGGATTTTAGATGTGATTATTTTGAAATATGAGATCATTTGTAGTAAAGCACAAAAAAAGCAGGTTTGGCATTTAGCTTTTGCAAACTCAGCATATATTTTTAAGTTGAGCAATGTGCCAAAACTCAACTCTAAATCCAACAATATTCAGTCAGGTCATCTGGATGGTTTATTTTTTGTGCTGAAACGTTTCGCCCTCCATCCGAAGGGCTTCATCAGTCTGAGGAAACACCAAACAAAACTTATTCTCCACCAGCAGCTTATCCCCAAAATGTCCCCCCGGCGCTTTCAATAGCTGCCCACTGCACCACCTGGTGGTGGATGGGTTAAATGCAGAGACTAATTTCGCCATTGTATGGAAACATACAGTGCTGACATTGTGATGACATTATTATTATTATTATTATTATTATTCCAAAGTGGGGAAAAAAAAAAAAAAACAGTTATGTTGGTGCTAAGAAGGCTTCTGGGGCACACCCTCTCCTCCGGTGCCTGCCCTCTCCCTTGTCGACAGTCATGTCAAACTGGTTCAAAACACCAAAGTCCATGCTCAATAATCCAGGTATAAAATCCAACACTGTTCAGTCAGGTCATCTGGACGGTTTCTTTTTTGTGC